CATTATACAAGTTTATCTTGGGAAGTGATTTTAATACCATGAATATCATCTAGGGCTCCATATTAACAACCACCAAAGGTAGGGAATTGCATGAAACAGTGAAATTGGGTGTGATTACCATTCAGAAGAAAAACCAACCTATTGGCCAACCGACGGAAATAAAATACCTGACTTACTTGACTTCCACATCACTAGAGAAATACATGAAAACTTTATTAACCCATTATGGTTAACTATTTTAGAAAATTTTCTATTATTCAATTTATTCAATGATAACTGTTACCAACAACATGTTAATGTTTCCAAGTTATATTTTTTTAATAATATTACGTCAATTACGTTATAGAATCAATTTATAAGTATCGATGAATTATCGTTAGTTGCTATGAGGCAAACTAAAATAGATTACCTCAACTTCCTTTTGAATCAAGAAAATATTCAGTATCTTCAAAGCATGAAAAGTGTATGAGAATATAGTTAGAATCGAAGCTAATAAAAAAAAACAATTTCTAACACTATTTGATCCACAAAATATGATGGGTCGTTAACGACCCATTGAGCACTAGTTGTGTTCAACTAGATATTTATTAAAGTCCGCAAAAAATATGACGTTGAATATGGTCTTAAAATCTTGAAAAATCCGTCACTTTAAATTTTGGTTCAATTTTGAAAAAACTATTTTGACGATTTCAAATTTTCATTCTATATTGATAATTATTTCACCTCTGCTGGGAGAAATGGAACATGCAGCAAGAGGAACCATGAGAGCTCATAGAACTGAGAATAGTGGCCTTCCTGGAAATGAAGTTTATAAGAAAAAAACAGAGGAACATATAATACCAGATTTGATAAGAATCATAATTTCATTGCAATACATCGGAAGGATAACAGCAATGTAACATTGTTATCCAATCAATTTAAAGCACAGCCCATGCAGACACCTTTACGTTACTCCATAAAATACAAAAAAAGGTAGCAATACCTTATACCAAATATTGTGTCCATGTATAACAGGAATATGGGTGGAGTCGGCCAGGTAGATAATAATGTGTCTAATTATCGAATATCTTTGCATGGGAAGAAATAGTATGTGCTCATCATTTTATGACTATTTGGTGTTTCCACGAATATTGCTTGGCATCTGGTCACAGTACATGGTATAATAGGTCAGAGATTAGGCACAGAAAGATAGGAAACGCAACGACCGCAGCAACGATGGTGTCATCTATGCGTCTCAAGTGTTAACTAAAAATATACGTCGTTTGCAGACATACCAGTGTTGCCAAATATTTCTTTAAGAGATCGTACAAGTAGAGTAGAAAAATGGTATTTCGACAAAAAATATCGTACAATAGGTACATGTATAGCATAATATAACTTAAATGGAATGAAAAAAAAAAAATAAAATTGACCTGAAAATTTATTTATCTATTTATAAAAATGTTTACAACGAAAAAAAAACTGAAGAAAATACATGAAACTTTAAATTAACATATAAAGTAATCAATGACTGTCACTTGAAAGTGATTGAAATTATGCCGTGATAGTTTGTATTGGTACAAAATCACCATGGTCAAAATCACGATAAGTGAGAACGAAAATGATTGCCTTTAGAAATTACGAAAGGCCTATGAATATTTGCAAGTAGTTTTTGATTTTTATTGTTTTATGTTCTGAAGTTGTTGCAGATATTTAAATAAACCTACTAAAAAAGTGAAGATCATATTTTTACGTACGATCTCACTGATGCAATTGTGCATCGTACAGAGAGTTAAAAAATCGTATAAATACGATTTAAATCGTATGGTTGGCAACACTGAGACAGACAGTAGACGTAGACAGTTTGTAAATGTAAATGTTAGTTAGTTTTATGTATATCGAAGAATCCTGAATTTAAATTTTAAATTTTGAGCTCATGATTGTGTTATCCTGTACATGAACTAAGTGAAATGGTTGTGGCTATTTTGGTGTAAAATTTGAGGACAACAATTATATTTTGTAACATTACAATAAGTCGGAGAACGTATTGCATTAGTAACACATGCCACATGAATAAATTTAACAACTTCAATGTGGCGTTCTTTAATTAACCAAAAAAAGATCTAGTCATGTAAGTAACACAAATAGGAACCAACTTTTGTCACAAACAAACAAAGTAGGTATTTATGTATTATTTATTGTTTTAGAACAGGAAAATGGTTTTAAAACGTTAGGAAGAAGATTTGATATAGGAAGAACAATATCTAGATTCCCATTATTGAGTTTGCACTCAAAATTTTTAAATAAGACACCATTGGCCATTCGTTTGGAAAATAAAAACAGAAATGTAATGTTACAAATAACGATCAAAAATTAAAAAATATTTGTTAAGAATAGATTTACAATAATTAATCGATAATAGACTGTAGGTGTAGTAATTCTTCTTAATAAATAAATTAGCGTAATTACATTGTTTAAATTTATTTACAAGAACATCAGAATGCAGTCGATATTTATACAACCTTTATTATCAGGTTTTTAGATTTTCCGCTACGTTGTTTGATATCGATTAAAAGGGCCACATAATGGGTCAGATGTTAACTGTGCAAAAGCTGGTCGTTGTTATGCATTGGCTTCTTATGAGCGTTTTCTATCTTTATCTTCCTTATCTCTGGTATAGGTATTACTTGACAATTTGACATTTAGGAGAGAGGTTAGCCAAATATGAAATTGCGCCCCTCAGGTCTGGACCTACATCTACAAGGAACTATCCTCTACCGGCTAGACTCAATGCTCGATACATAACCGTCACCAATTTGGCAAGGAGAAGATGTGCTCTTTGTAATAATAAATCAACAAATAGATGTTTTACTTGTGAAGTAGCTCTTCATGATAAAGGTTTCGTTTTATATCTTCAAATAAAATAAGGCAAATAAATTTTTTATAGTTCAATCAACGGGCAAGTTTTATTGTAGTGTGCTCAGTGGGTCGTTGGTGACCCAAAACCTAGTATCGCCATTTTGCATAAAATAACTTTTTATGACCTTTCCAAATATACCTAATCATATTGAAAATATTAAAAATAGATTTATTTAGATTGAAAAAAATAGTGAGCACTGCTATGTCCTCCGTCTATATCTATATCATTTAACAATAACTTTATATTTATCTTAATAAATCACTTTCTTTGGTTGCCCAGCTACGTTCTCTGGGAGTGCATCTCTTCCTTGGTTTAGTTCGAAAGGATATTTTTACTCCCTTTATCTAAGACAGAACAGTTATGTCAAACGTTATTCTACACCAGGAGTTATATCTACCTGTTTAGACTTTATATCCAGATAAGTACCCTAAATAGATATTGAGATATTAAAGCATCTCCAAATATACTCTTAATGGCTTTGTCTAAATCGTATGCTGCGAACTCTCGACGTGATACTAATTCTGAATGATGTGTATGTGAAGAAAGTCAAGCAGCGTGATTAGGTATTTGGATAACCTAGCGAGTTTCCACACCTTCTTCGTATATCAGCAATTCTCGTTAATACCTGGTTTTGTATATTGTCTATGCCTTTATGACCAAGACATTTCATTTAAGAGCTGCTAAAAATAAATAGTATTTTAGCTTAGGATATTTCTATAGTAGGTCTTCTCTTTTCATGTCAAAAATACTTTCTTGTAAGATAATATTATAATACCATCACTATGCCAAACATTTTTGCAAATTCTTTCCCAAATTAATCTTTTGTAGTCTGATCCCAATATGGATAACAATTGTGCTCACAGCTCTTTCTGTTGCGTCATGTCCAATTGTTCTTTATCTCCATTTGTATTTTCACGCGTCAGTTGCGTGATAGAAATCTCCGAATGGAAAACTTCGAATCTTGAACTTCCTCTCATGTCCCACGTGAGTTGCTTTAGTCTCTACCCAGAGATAACAGAGATATAACCATTAATTGATAAAATATAATATTCACGATGCCAAGATTAATTCGACACTCGATACACTCCATTTGTAGGGACGCGGTGAGGAGACGAAACGTAAGAAGTAAGAGAGGGGATAAAGAGAAGAATTTTACGCAGATACAACTTATTTTTATCAATGAAAATTTTTACATCTTATTTAGTGAAATTACATCTAATTTGGTTAAATTTAATATAACTAATGATTCAAAATTTTTTGGGTTCAGTTGCAATAAAATAGGTTGAAAACGAGAATAATGAAATAGACATATAACAACAGCGGATATTATACTCTCCTGTGTCCCTTAGAATATGCCTTATTCAGGACCACACGATATTTGTTAATAGTTACATCTCCTGTTATCTCTGTCTCTACCCCTACGATATCGAGAAGGAATTAGCGATTCACTTCACCGCAATCTTTTTAATGCCGTTAACTGCTTTTTTCGGGTTTCGAATTTTCCTTTCTAATCTACTTTTCCCACTTTCACTTGATCTTCACCTTTTTCTCGATTTACCCATATTTAAAAGCCTTATTTTTACTTTTAATTTAAAATATCACTAATAAAACTCAACTTCGGTAAAAGAAACCAGATACAATCCTCATTTGTTTGCACACGAAAGAAGACTGAAATATTTCCGCTGATAAGTGGTTAGCAGGCGACGAATCATTTTATTATTTTATCGAGATTCGTGTAAGTTTGTACAGGGAGGCGGATACTACATTTTATTATTTATGAGACGAGACCGAAATTTAATCACAAATGAAATTTAAAACATAAACAAGTAAATATCCCTACACTAATTAAATAAAACAAGCAGAACTAATGTCGTCAGGAAATACCCTGTACTTATAATTTTTTTAACAGACGTATTAAGCTTTCTTTAATCAAGAAGAAAAAAATACTGAAAAATAAGTGAAGCTTATTTTCAAAATTTAACTAAAAGTGCTTACGTCATAGGATATTTTTTTAGGATCATGTTCAATTAATACCTGTGCCATAAGATGAAACATCGTCAATAATTATTAAAATGTATTTATTTTTGATTTTGTTTTTCAGGTTTGTGGGAGCTACTCTGATAAGGTAAGCTCATTATATTTTGATTTTCAATTCAAAATAATATATTTATTTCAAGAAATATACTATTTCATAATAAGAGTACAGTACTAAAAAAAACAATAGATCACACTAAACATTACAAAATTGGATAAAAAAAAGTGTATATTTTTGTTAAAGAAAGATACTTAAAAAACCTACTTAAGGAAGCGTGTATCATTCGTTCAAAATGCTTACAATATCATCCTGGATTGTTATCATTGTCATTTGTAATGAATTGAATAAAAACGCTGTAGTAGTTGTTGCTGACGCATTAAACACAACACGAAGTTTTTCTCTCTTAATACACCGTGATGAGGCATGAAGTATTGAACGCACATACTTTGATTTTCTTTAACTATACGGAGAATGGTCGCACTGCGCAGCTTTCTGAGTGCCTTTTAAAAGGAGATAGAAAACTCCGCCATTTTGAACCCTTATTACGTGTTGCCTACATCTTGGCGCAATATTTTTAATAGGTGCGTTTTAATCATCCGCTTCTGCTTCGGAATTGTCGGTTTTCTTGTTTTAATCTGACAGGTTAGAACGACTGAACCAACAATTCCGGAAGCAGAAGCGGATGATTAAAACGCACCTGATATTTTGCTTGCTGCTGTCAGTGTCAGTGAATATTATTTTTAGAGTCACAGTTTATTGCTAAAGAATCAGTTAGCTCACTCGGACCAGTTGAAAGTTCCAAAATAACATCCACTCCAGGGATACAAATTCAGGATACGCAGAAGACTGCTGTTTTATTATAGGCGGTTGTCAAATATTGTATTATCTGAGTTGCGCAGTGTATAAACTGAAACATTGAGATAAAAAGTGCCGACGCACAGTGAGCGATCTGATTCTTTAGCTATAAACTGTGTCATAGGGTTCAAAATGGCCGCGCCCTATGTTGGGCGTGTCGGACCTCTCTCTTGCCCCGTATAGTTATCAACGTATGTGATTGAACGGCTTCAGCTTCATCTTCGTCTAATGACATGTGCTGCAGATCTTCGTATTCCTTTAGAAAATTACAATAAAGTTCATGTAACTTTATATTTAGTTGTAATCTTTTTTCTAACTGTAAAAATCGTTTTATAGCCAATACTTTAGAATCGCTAAAAACACTGATATTTTATTTTAGGGAATGGTCACAATAAATTGACCTTCCTTATTACCCTTTTACTATTTTTTGAAAATGTTCTTCGCATAATTCCTCTTCCATTGTATTGGGTTTGGGATTAGGCTTTGGATGTGGTGCTTCTTTAATTTCCCAAAATTTTAATGAAAAATCGATAATATCTGTGTTTCTGTTTAAAAAGCAAAGGGTGTTTTCTGAAATACTTAAAAACCCACCAATTATCCAACCTAATTTGTTGTTTTGCAGTTTTGGCAAATTTTTATAGGTTTATTTGTTCGCATATTAAGTCCCAGAACTTATCCGCGCCTATTAAAAGATCAATTTTGTGCCACAGTACCCGAGAAGGATCAAGGAGAAGCGACAGCTTGGTGTTTTCAGTGTACCGTTTTGTAACGCGCATGTGCGAAAATAAGTTGTGTATCACTCAAAATTATGTTATCTGTCAAAGTCAGTCCAAGTTGTGTTCAGTACGTGAGCAATGTTAAGTGATATTTTTTGGTGTTTGTTTTGTGTAGTAATAAGATGAAGATCTTTACACACTTAGGTATTCTAATACAGATATAAAATGTGCCAAAAAAGTTATTAGGAAACTAAGAATTTTATCACATGCATAAATATTTTAATCATTTTTGACATTTTATTTTTCATATGTAGGTATTGTATTTTGTAAAATATATGTTTTTCTTCTTTTAAATAAATTTAATAAACAATGAACTGCAGATTTTGTTTATTTTATTTTGAGATTATATTTAAAAAAATATAATAAATTCGCGTATTTCAATTAGGATTGGTCAAAGTGGGCAAAATCCCTTTCTTATGGCTAAATTGTAAGTTACAATTATGTCAATATAAAGATGTTTCGCCCATTCATATTTACATTTATTGAATGAATCATACTGGAGTTGATTTTGGAAATATTGGTGCATACTTAAAGTACTATTTCTAAAAATTCGTCTATGCACACATAGTCCAATGGACGTCCACTTTAGATCTATTTGAGGGTCAGGACGTCCATATCCAGGCATCCATTGTACGTCCGTTTATGCTAATTAAGTTGACAGCTGAATATCGATACCCAGAGAACGTCTGTTTTTGGACTTAATTATAAGTTCAGTAGTATTTTGACGTCCTGTGAACGTCCATCTTAGGTCATTATTTATTAAGCCTACCAGATAATACCCATCTATATATACTTTTTTTTTTAATATAACTGGTCATTAAAAATTGACAAATTGAATCTCTTTAATTATAACTGTATCTAGTAAAAAGTTTTCAAGTGGTTCCGATAATGGATGTGTCGTGAGTTCGATTCCTGCTCAGGTCAAGCGATTTTTAATAAAAATAAATAAATGGTGTATAGCGATTTGCGAAAATAATAAACAAATTATTAATAATAATAGTGAGTGGTGAGTTGCGGTTCTGTAAAAAAGTGGGGATGTGGTCTCAATGGAAATATAATCCTGGACGTTTTTTGAATGTCCAGTATTCGACGTCCAAATATATTCCAGAATTGGACGTCCTCTGAATGGTCAAAAGTGTGCCATTTGTATACTTCACTGGACGTCCATTGGATGTCGAAAGTCCAGAAAACTCATTTTTGGACTTCTAGACATCTAAAATTGTATATTGAATGGACGTCCAATGGACATATTTGTATTGTCTGGGTAATAGCCAGGCCAGGTATTTAACTCTAAATACATAAACCTTAAATGACATCTGGTTTAACTTGGCGAGAAAACACTTGTTTCTACAGAAATGAGTGATAAACTTAAAAGTCCTTATATAATATAAATCTAGAAATTCTAAAAATATGTAAGTACTTTTTAAACCTAAAAACTTTGAAAATATATGCACATTGCAAATATTTAGTTAAACCTCTCAAACTTAATGTCTTTTTAATTGTTACCTAAATTTTTTTTGACACCCTTAATTTTATTTACCTTATGTTTAGTTAAGGAAAAGGTAATTTAATTTAAATATGGGGCTTTTATTACATTTTTAACAATAAATAAACCAAATATTGAACAAATTTTATAGATAAATTATAAAATAATAAACGTCTTTTACTTTTATAATAAATAATTAATTATTACATAATTAATTATATTTTGGTGCCGAAATTTCAGCATTACTATTAACCCTAATTACTTTAATGTAATTAAATCACATTGCAACATTTGCGCATGGACTATAACAATAATTTCAGATAATTTGCCAAACTATTTCGCTCAGTGTAGAAAATAAGCATGTTTTCTCAGCGTGCTAAGTTGTGTATCAGTCAAAGTCATACTGTGAAAAAGGTACATCCGATATCAAAGGCACCGACAGCTACTGTCGCTTCTTCTTGATCAATATTCTCGGACAGTTCACCACAGAGCTAGGTGTACATAAGGCGAGTTCGGATAGTCAGGGGCTGGAGCGAGACAAAAGCGGAGTTTTTAGGGTGCTTTTAAATGACATTTAAGCGTGTTAAACTGTCACTAATCGGACTAAACCACATACTTTGATTAACTAAACCGAACGCTAAAAGGGTCATATGGAGTAAAAAGTGTTAAAGGAGTTAAAGGAACTTGGTAGACCGAACGCAATGTGTGAATAGTTACGATTTCTCAGAGTAGCTCTGTAGTGGAAGTAGCCCTATGTTTTTTATCTATATTCTTCTCTCTTCTGTGGCTCAACCGATTTATTAAAAATTTTATGTTCTATTTTTAATTTTGAAAAAATTAGTTTTTCTTTAGCAACTACTGTTTTATAATACTTTCTTTACTGTTTTTAATAATTTTTTGTTCTTCTACTAAATTTTTATCGGCTACTATTTCAAAATCATCTATTTGGTCTTAAATATCTGTAAATTTTTTAAAATTACTGTCATAGTTTGACAAACGCGTTTTAATTTCAAACTTTACTAAGTATTTTTTATCATTATCAAACGATCCAACATATATTAATTCCGTTTGTCTTATTTTAATGAAGTTTTCGAACTGATTTAAGTTATCTATTACTTTACGCTTTTTAATTAAATTTTCAAGTGCCATCCCATGCAACATCATGCCGTCATTATGACTTAATTTTTTGGTGTGCGTTACGTCATGTGAAGACGTGAAAATAGAGAGTTAAAGCACTGCGAGAAACGTATACGTAAACGTATCTAATGACAGCTACGCATGCGCAATCGCTATTTTTCTCACGTATCTATTTACGTCTTACGTAAACATACGTGTTCTTACGTACGCCTAATACGCATTCGTATCAAGCCGAGCAAATGCTTCGGGAGCATCCGATCGCACCCGAATTAATAAAACTAATGACAGATTGTAACTTTTATATTGTTCTGATTTTTTAAATTTTGAGCTATAATACGAAACGAGTTTCATATATAACACACATCACATTTATTCCGAAAGTTAATTGAAAAAAATAAATTGGTAAAAATTACCGGACATTGATACTCGATTATTTGTTAGTCGATTATTAAAATTGAATTACCCATATAAAACATCACTGTTTTCCAAATTTTCTTTATTATGTAGAATTTGTAATATACAGCATAATTTAAAGCCCTTAAATTTATAATTTACTCAAGATAACTATCTACTTTTCTCAAAAAGTACCTAATGTTATAAAGTTGTAGATACGTTTACGTCAGTGCATTTGCTTTAACTATTGTTTTCTTCCAGATTGCTCGTTTAACGTATCGTCAATTTCCACGTTTACGTCAGAGAGATACGCAGACGTATCTAGCGTTGCTTTAACTCTCTAATAACGTTATAGTAACGTGAGAATGTCACAGCGAAATGACGTCATTCCATATCGTCATTTTGATGAATCGATATCACGTTAAAGTAACGTGTATATCGGG